GGGGCGGGGGGGGGGGGGAGGGAAATGGGTGCCATTTCAATGTTGGTTTAATTTTTCATTGGTTCGAACTAATGCTGGTTCAATTTTTCATTGGTTCGGGCCAATGCTGGTTCGGGGGAAACGGTAGTTAAGGAAATTATCGAAGGATGGAAAGGGGCAGTGATATAGGCTGATGGAATGATGGTATTGATAGTGGTAATTTATGGGGAGGTGGCCGGAGGAATGGGGTCCTCCGGAAGTGGCCAGGTCAAGTGACCCAAGTAAGTGTCCAGGGGAAGAAACCACAGGAAGTGTCCAGGGGAAGTGACCAAAAGGAATGACCAGTAGAAGTGGTGAGAGGAAATAGGGAGGAGGGGGGGGGGGAGGAAAGGAAAGGAAAGGAATTATCAGGAGAAGCGCCAAGTCATTATGACTATATAGCACTGGGAAAGGGTCAGGATAAGGATTTGGGATGGGGCAGGGAGGGGAAGGAATGGTGCCCAACCACTTGGAAGGTCGTGGGATTGAATGCCGATCTGCATGAAGTGAGACCGTCGCTCTACCGTCCAGTCCAAGTGGTTGCCATTAGAAGTAGTCAGAGAAAGTAGTGCGTGGAAGTCTTGGGAAAGTGACCAAGGAAACCAGAATACAGCTCACAGCTTCCTAAAATATCAGTACTTGCAGCAAGTATTCAGTGGAACGTTCAAAATGAACAGTCACAGCACACCACAATGTTCACAAATGTTCATGTTATGTATTGATAATTGTGTAGAGTGCACGATAGAACCCCAAATCCAAACATATAAACATTCCAAGGCCTAATAAAGTACATATATGCACTATAATAGGCCTTAGATAGCGTATACTAGGCCTAACTAGGATTGCTCTGACAGGTTAAGCTAGGTCCCTTGCTGCTTTTGAATTTTTTATAGCATGCCATTTGCATTAATTCAATAAAACAAAACGATTGGGCACAACAGTCCAATTTTTTGTAACGTTCAACCAAATAATTGGAAATAAGCACAATTATTTAAAGAGAGATTGGGCTGTTCATAACAACACTATAATCCCAAAAATGGTGCCTCTACATATGTAATGGTTTACAATAATAGTTAATAGTCATACCAAGATAACCACAATAATGGTTACTAAGGATATAAATTCCGACAAGACAAAAAAAAAAAAAATTGTAAAATAGGGGACCTGAGATATGGTCAAAATGAATTGGTGGTCAAAATGACTCAATGAATTCTTTTTGAAGCCACAGAGACGCTCTCTCTCTCTCTCTCTCTCTCACTCTCTCTCTCTCAATATATATATATATATATATATAATATATATATATATATATATATATATATATATATATATATATATATATATATTCTCTCCACGCTCCGAGTGCCAGAGCTAATAGTTGGCACTGGCCCCGAGAGGATCCCACCGCGGACGACGGCAGGATAAGCTCTAATTAGACTAATTACCGAAGAATTAGCCCCCACACGTGTCTGGGAGTCGCAGACGAGCAGTCGCGTGTCTGACCAACCTAAATGATGGAGCTACGACATCAAAAATACATCGTAGTATTCACACACAGGAGTATCGGAGATTTTAGTAGGTTACGTAAGACTTCAGAAATGCATTAAAAAGTGGAGCAAAGTATTAAAGACTTCAGGAAAGTATGAAAGACTTCAAGAAATTATGAAAGACTTCAGGAAATTATCAAAGACTTCAGGAAATGATCAAAGACTTCAGGAAATGATCAAAGACTTCAGGAAATTATCAAAGACTTCTGGAAATTATCAAAGACTTCAGGAAATTATCAAAGATTTCAGGAAAGTATCAAAGATTTCAGGAAATTATCAAAGACTTCAAGAAATTATCAAACACATCAAGAAATTATCAAAGACTTCAGGAAATTATCAAAGACTTCAGGAAATTATGAAAGACTTCAGGAAAGTATCAAAGACTTCAGGAAATTATGAAAGACTTCAGGAAAGTATCAAAGACTTCAGGAAATTATGAAAGACTTCAGGAAATGATCAAAGACTTCAGGAAATTATCAAAGACTTCAGGAAATTATCAAAGACTTCAGCAAAGCACCAAAAAGACTTCAGCATCAAAGCCTTAATAAAACTCCTTTACTCTCAGTTAAACTGAGATAAACAGTTAAAGTCTGAGTGGAACTTTCAACACTCCAACTCTCGGGGCTGCTGTGGGATCGAACTATCGTCCTGGATCATCCCAGACGCACCCCGTAACCCCCTGCACCATGATATGCTTGAAACATTACGCACATTCCTAGTTGGTTCAGGCGGACTTCAGGTTGTTTAACTCTCTATCAATAACCTTAATTATTGTGTTATAGTGACTAACTAAACCTAATACCTTAACAGTTATTCATAAATTATTGAAATCAATGTATATAAATAAATTTATTCTTTAGCCGAGCTTGAGTCGCGAAGGAACAGCTTACTGAGAACCGTTTAAGGAAGAGTAGTTACCTTGGGACTATTGTAGTTACTTGGGACTGAGTAGTTACACTATATCCTTAAGACCGAACCGGAATTGTGGACTTGAAATCGCCTTCTTATACCTTGTTCGAACCTAAACAACTTCGTCCGGACTTACCAGCTGAGTTTAGCCGTTTTGCCATTCCTTACAGAGAGCCTTCGACAGGGCCATATATATACACACACACAGGACATGTGAATAATTCTGTTCATGTTCCCATGTGCTTCCTTAGGGGGTGTTGAGTTGCCTGGTTTTCTGAAAATATTGGTGAGGGTAAATATCTTCTTCTGTCCCCTGTGACCCAAATCTGTGGTTGGGACAACAGAGGGAGAGGCAGCGAGGTTCCTCAACCGGCCAACCAGTCTGTGAGGTTGGGAGAGGTTGAGTAAACACCCAGACCGGTTTGGTCCAGACCGAGCAATTTCTGGCAGAGGGGAAGTTTAAACACTGCATGAAGTAAGAGTGAATTCATCGTCTCCACTCGCCTCTCTGTCTGTCTGTCTGTCTGTCTGTCTGTCTGTCTGTCTGTCTGTCTGTCTGTCTGTCTGTCTCCCTTGATCTCACTTTTACTTGAATGAACAGACACCCATCTGGGGCCACCAGGGGGGGGGGGGGCCTGAGACGCTACAAGAGCCCCAGGCCATGTATACAAGGCCATGTATACAAGGCCATGTATTCAGGGCCATGTATAACCATTAGGAGTCTCAGGGTGTTATCCTTATCCCTTACCCAGCCTCCGGGAGCATCTTGGAGTCCTCCCAAGTCCACTGGAGCATCTTGAGGCACGTGGGGCGGGGAAGGAGGGGGGGGGGGAGGTAAGGGAGGTTTATGCATAGCAATAGGGTGGATGCTGCAGATGCTGCCAGAAGATCACGGATGCTGAACACCTGAGATGTGAATCTTCTTTGTAGCGGTGAAGTTGGGGGGGGGGGGTCCATTAGTTAGGGGAGGATTAGATCGCTTAACCTCCATATTATACCTTGGTATGTGGCAATGCTGTCTACAGCATACCTTGGAATGTGGCTATGCTGTCCATAGTATACCCTGATATATGGCTATGCTGTCCATAGTATACCCTGATATAGGGCTATTTTGTCCATAGTATACCCTGATATATGGCTATGCTGTCCATAGTATACCCTGATATACGGCTATGCTGTCCATAGTATACCCTGATATAAGGCTATGCTGTCCATAGTATACCCTGATATATGGCTATGCTGTTCATAGTATACCCTGATATATGGCTATGCTGTCCAGAGTATACCCTGATATATAGCTATGCTGTCCATAGTATACGAGCCAGATCTCTCGGTTTCCGCAGCGTAAAAAATACAGCGGATTAGCTACCCCAGAAGCGTCAAAAACCTAACCAGACCAATCGAAGAAGATACTCATTAGTCCCCCTAACTACGTCAATAATAAGATGGTTTTAACTTCCATGAACCACCGCAATTTTTACGACGGGATCAACTGCGTAAATAATGCAACGGAATCTGTAGGAGGACGGGAATTGCCGGAAACGAGACAGGAATGAAGATAAATTAGACGGGCTCTTCAACGCCTCTCCGTCTTACAAACAGATTACCAGGTACCAGGTCCGCCATGATTGAGCAATGATGTACAGCTTTCTCACCTTCTGATTGAAAACTGCCGAACCTATGTCATGCCCAAACCTTTCCCCCGTCACCCTTACGCAACTCTCCTCACTCACGTCGCGTCCTCCCCCTCTCGATAAGCAACCCATAAGTGCCCCCCCTAGTATACAAACACATCACGAGTCCCCCCTCCATCACCGTTCTCTTTGGTGGTACAGTAAAAGGGATAACTGAGCCATAAACCGCAATACTTTAAGACGCACTTCGTCTCGGCCAGACGCCGGTGAAGCGGTCCCAAGCCAGCCAGAACGACGCATCAACGAGTACGAGGCTTTGCGTCACTCTTCGTGCGAGTGACACCACTCGTGGCGCTCATTTGGGGAAGGAAAGATGCTGTGGAAGAGTGCAAGATTTCCCAGAAAAGTGCAAGATTCCTTTGGAAGAAGGCAAGACTCCTTGGAAGTTGTGCAAAAGTCCTTGAAAGAGTGCAACACCTTTTGGAAGAGTG